CTCTTGGTTTTATTTTGAGAAACTAGGCTTGAGTATGGGTCCTTAATTTGGGTTCCCATTTATGAAACCTACATTCGGGTCCTGGAATCTAACCAGCCTAAGTTTTTAAAGTACCTTACCTTTAAAGAGGATCGTGTATACCCTAAAAGAGGAATAGATTATTTTATCTTGCTTGACAGGCACAACATGATTTCGTTGGAAAAGCGTAGAGTTGTGGCAGCGATTTCATTCTTGTACAATCTTTATCATGATAAAATTGACTGTCCATATTTACTAAATTGTTTAAAATTTAACGTACCCAGATTCAACTCCAGAAATAATGTTTTATTTAGAATTGATACTCCCCGTACTAATATGCTACGTCGCGAACCTGTGTACAACATGTGCTCTTTATTTAATAGTTTTTGCTACAACTGTGATATTAAGTCTTTAATAACATGTTTGTGATTAATATACTATGTATCTGTATATATATATATATATATATATATATATGTATATATATTTTTCTTTGTAATCATACTTGCTATTTAACTTTTTTTTTGATGTTATATCCAGGGCCGGCTCCAGGGTACGTGCAGCCGTGCCCCTGCACGGGGCGGCAAAAATTGAAGGGCGGTAAAAATGAAAGAGCTTCACAAATCGAATAGCGGCAAAATTCGAAGGGCGGCAAAAATCGAAAGGAGGCCAAAAAGTTATTCAATACAACACGATATAGGTTCCAAATTAGATACTTCCAATTTAATTTCAACGTTTGCTGAACAAAAAGCCAGAAGGCATTCCTTTTCTTAAACTTTTGTTTGTAAACAGATTTTTCTTATTTTTACTACTAGTCAGTTTAATAATGTTAGATAAAATAATTATTATTAGAATATATTACTGTTTTTTAGAATGCGATGATATTTTATTTATTTGTTATTAAATAATACTTTTTTGTTAATTTTATCAACCCATTAATGCTACAACTGAATAACTCGAAATTTTACGTCTCCAGTTCTACTAAATACTTCTATACCAATTTTAGAATATTGTATTTATAAATGTGTTTTTCCAGATATCTAATTGTAGCATTAAGGGGACGATATTATTTAGGTAGTTTTTTTTAGAAATTATACCTAATTAATGGTCACTAAAAAGTAGGTAAGAGGGGCGGCAAAAATATTTTTGCACGGGGTACCAAAATGTCTGGAGCCGGGCCTGGTTATATCTTTTCTTCTTTTTACATTTCCTGTAATTGTATTCCTGTTGGAAATAAATTATTATTATATTATTATTATTATTTAAGTTTGGACATTTTTAAGAAATTAGTAAAAAATAATTTTTGCACAAAGATAACCTTAAAATCAATCATTTTTATATTTGAGTTCTCTATAAAACGCCGACAACTGCATTTTAAACAACAAAATATACATACCTACTAATTCATGGCAACATAATATAATAATATTATAATAATATAATAATTAGGGATGGAATTTTAGTTATTTTACCTTTTTTCAGCCGAACTATTTGAAAACCAATAATGCCAAAATGTGTTTTAAAAGATTTTCTTTTATATGAACCTAACTTGTTTTCACCTTTTTTGGAGGTTTTTGCTTTAAACTACCTTTTTTATACTTTTGTTACCTATTTTTTTAACTTGTTTTCACCTTTTTTACCTTTTTTGGAGGTTTTTGCTTTAAACTACCTTTTTATACTTTTGTTACATATTTTTTAATTTGTCAGTTTATTTTCACATATTTGTTATCTATTTTTACGTATTTTTACTTATTTTATTTTTTTGTGTTCTTTTTAAATTTTCCTCCAATATTTTATCCAGGGCCTGCAATTCAACGGTATAAAATTTTTTTTATGGTCACAGACTGTAACAGTAACTTTCTTTACAGTTACCTTCTTTGTAGTGAGCTTATGTTCTGTCATAGAACTTCTGTGTAGTGAGTGTCACTCAGTGAAACTCAGTTTATTGCATAGAAATAGTTTATTGTGGGTATGTTCTGTGTATGCGGCTAAACAAAATTATAAACAAAACTTGAACTTTTAATGTTTTTTTTACCTAAAATGCTGTTTTTTTTAACCTAAAATGCTTTTTAGTAACCTATTTTTCAGTTTTTAGTACCTAAATATCCCATCTTTAATAATAATACATAATATAATGGTATTTTACCGTTGAGTGGAGACTTTAAAGAATTTTTAATCAAGGCTTTTAATAATGTTAAATGCTGTTTAAATTTAGACGACTTATTTGTTTAATGATTTTTACTGACTTGCAATGTTTACACTTTTCACGTTAATCACTACTATAATGTGTATTTATTGTATCTAATAGGTACAATTTATATTTATAGAGACTGTATGCAATTTATTTTTTCATTCACTGTTTATGGGAAAACCTCTCTCGAAATACACCCAACAACACAACAAATCGATCCACGTTTTTTTTTATATTCTTTAATATTTTCCGGCTTTATTCTCAAAAACACTCGTTTGTAACCCAAGCGTTTGACAGCTGATTATTAAAAGTTCTACTTTTGTTACGATGATAACAACCGAGTGGTGGCAATACTAGCGATACTTCTTTAGCGTATAGTTATTTATTTTCAATAAACATTTTGTTTTACTAAGGCTTCTTGATTTGTAACAGTTTAAAAAATGTTTGATGATAACGTTTCAAATTCGAATATTTAAAAAACGGTTAAATTTAGGTACCTTTTCGGTTATTATGCAAGGAATCGAAAAATAAATTCATATACAGAGACCTGCATAAAAAACGGCCATTGCTGTAGCATCGTTATTCCTTATCCGATTTTTAAAATTCAAAAACCAGTTTAAATGGTATGATGTCTTCTATGATTCGACGATTAAAAATATTTTTTTTATTATGATGCTTGTGAGGACTGATAGTCAACTTTTATTTTTCAAATGACAACTATATTTTTTTATTATTTTTTCGCATTTCTTATGCTTCTCTGAGCATAACGGTATATCAATATCATAATTTTAATTATAAAACACGAAAAAAACAAATAAAACTTCGAAAACTTTTACATATCGTAGAAGCATCAGGATACCCACAAAGCCCAGAAAAGCATAAGAAATGCGAAAAAATAATAAAAAAATATAGTTGTCATTTGAAAAATAAAAGTTGACTATCAGTGCTCACTAGCATTATAATAAAAAAAATATTTTTAACCGTCGAATCATAGAAGACATCATACCATTCAAACTGGTTTTTGAATTTTGAAAATCGTATAAGGAATAACGATGCTACAGCAATGGCCGTTTTTTATGCAGTTCTCTGTATAGGGTGATCCATTGAGAAAAAATATACTTTTTGTTTTTTTCTGTATACTGATCAATTCTCTATTTTTTTTGGGACACTTAAAATAAAAAAGTTAAAGGGGGGCGACATTACCTATAGGGGATCACCCTGTACATAAAATAATAAATAAAAATAACAATTCTTAAAAAGTTTATAATTTTACCTATATATAAATAGTATATTTGTTATAAAACCTATAGGCTATTATATATTATATTATACTGGATATTATATAATTTAAACAGACTTTCAAACAAAATGTTTTGATGCTTACGATATTTTGGCAAAAAGTCATCATATAGATATTACTCGTGACTTCCACGAGTATTTTTTACGAGTACTTTTTTACTCGTAATTGAAATACGTACTCAGTACTGGTGGTAAGTATATGGAATGGATAATTACATCGTAATTTCTTCGGTTCCTTGGTAACCGGTTACTTGAGGGTTGGGAAATGCGACGCTCCGTTCCTAAAAAATACCGCGACAAAATCGCGGTATTAAAATACCTACCCATCTCTATAGGATTATAATCGCTACTCCCCGAACTAAATTGTAAAAATTTGTTACCGCTACTGCTACTCCTACTGCTGGTAGCAGTCTGCTACTGCTACTTTTTAGAACTATAAATCCAGCTTTAGTCTCGCCCACAATCCACACACGCCTTTATTTTTTTGCAGTGTGTTGCCTAACTTCGCGATTTTTAGTATGTGCGGTACGAGATAGAACAGACCTTGTTGTGTGGATTGTGGTCTCGCCCACCTTTACTGTTCAGATTCCCGTTCCCGTGCAGCGGGCTTTAAGCCGGATTTATAGTTTTAAAGGTAACGGTAGAGGCAGCGGTAAAGGTAGAGGTAAAGGTAGCGGTAGCGGTAGCCGAGTTCGGCATTGAATATTGTACGAAACAATTTATAGAGGTAGCGGTAAGAGAGGTAAAGGCAAGAAGGTAGCGGCAAGAGATAACACTCTTTGATCTTTTCTTACCTCAACCGCTACTCCAGCCAATCACACGGCAGTTTTTAGTTAGCAGTTTCACTAACGTCTAGAGGCACCGAATTATCTTGGCTCCCTGGCTCCTAGACATGCGCGTTTTATAGAAATGTACTCAAACTCAACAACACAACCCAACCGACCCCGCCCCATTGGGCTACGCCACTTTAAGTCCCAGGGACTCCCAGTGGCGTAGTAAGAGGGGAATAAGTACATTTGAGTCAAAATAGTGTATTAAAATATAAAAATAAGTCATGATAGGTGCAGTGAATATGCCCATGTTAAGCGGAACCCTTGATAAAAATTAGAAAAGTCCAATTTTTCAATTTGATCTTTTATGAAAAGCGTACCTTTAAACTCAAGGAAGTAATATTTTGACAGTATAAAATGATTTATTCTTTGATATTTTTTTTATATTGTTTTTTTAAAAACTGGTCATACTGGGCGTATTACCAACTCTGTCGTTAATATGCCCATTGTAGGTTCCTAATATGCCCATGGCATGTTCCTTATATTTTATTTTATAAAAAGCATACAACCTTTGTCGGTTTACTATATTTATTTAAAAAACTAAAATGCGTGATAAACAGAACTTAAATTCAAATATTTTAAAAAACTAAACATAAATTTATGCGGGTAAGTAACACTTAAAAATGAGTAACAAAACAAAAGTCTAATAATAAGTGAAAATTTTAGCCACAGTCTGGACAAACAAAAACGATTTTATCAGCTTTGGTAAGTCCGACGCACTCTTCGTGAAAGTAAACTAAGGATACCGAGCATAATCGCATATCTTTTTCCACGTTTTCTCGACAAACTTTGCAGTACCACGATTCTTTGGGTTTTATTTTGTCACCTTGATCTTTGGTCTTTGAAACAATATTTTTTGGTTTGGAAACTTTTGTTGTTGTTTTGGTGGGAAAAACTTCTTTTTTTACAATAAGCGCTTTGCTGTTAATAGCTTTTCTCTTTTTGGTTGTTTTTGGGATATCTTTGTATGGTGTCTCCAACATTTCAGTAAAACTCACGTTCAGGTTATTTTCTTCTTTATCGTTATTTATGTTTGTGTTACTTTCTTCCGCCATAGGCTGGTCCTTTTATTCTTTATTATTAAGCGTTCTCTTAATGTTTTTTATTTTCTTCTGGTTTTCTGCGTCAAACTTTAAACTTTTTAACGTCTTTTGTTCTTTGATATTCGTCCTTCCGTCCGTTCGACTTTCGTCATTCGATGTTGCCTCTTCGTCATCAGGTTTTGCCTCGTCTTCCGAAGAAAAAGTTTCTGTTGAGGTCTCGCTGTATAAAGACATATTATCATCCGCTGATGAGGAGCTATCTGATGATGACCATTTTCTCCTACTCTGGCGTTTTGGTCCACAGGATTTAAGATAATTGGAGATATTTGATGGGGGACTTTTTTCTATGGGGCTTTGTTTATTTCTCTGTTGACATCCAGAAGGTCCAGGTTGGGGTGTCGTTTCCCTTCTAAACTCTTCGTTTTCTTCTAGTCTGTTAGTTGCTTCCATATTATTGTCTTCGACAAATCCTCGTTCCGTTAAAATGCTAGGAGCAAAAGCGACTTCGGGAATAGCACCTGGGTTGTACGGATAGATACCCGTAGCAGAGAAACCTGATTTTATATTTTGAGGAGTTAATGACTTGTCCCAAACGATAGAAAAGAGCTCCCCAAACCTTATTTTGGTTATAGCTCGGTCTTTGTGGCGAGTCCAATATAAAAGTACTTCTTCATCCCAATGATGTTCAAATGATTGAATACAGCCTTGTCCATTGGCTGCAACTCATGAGTAGTATTACTCGGGAGGCATAAAAGGGAGATGTCATAAGAGTCTGCAGTTTCAACAATGGAAGGATCTAGATGGCAAGATGCGCCATCAAAAATTAGAAGGCACTTTCCTGGAAGCTTATACTTTCCAAAGTGCTTTATCCATTCATTAAATGTTTCAATTGTCATACTTGCTTTCTTCGTCATAAGGGCCAGAGTTCCTGGTGGCAAGTTGTCACACCATTCACGTTTCATCCTTTTGCCTTTAAGTAAAATTGCTGGGGGAATTCTTCCCCCACTGACGTTGCCACAAGCAACGACAGTAACATTTTCTGCGTGTTCTGGTGCCACTAAATGGACTCTTTTTGCGCCTTTTTTAGCTAGAATAGTTTGCTGGTGGTGTAACGTTAATCTGCATCCCTTTTCGTCCATATTATAAATTCTTTCAGGTTTATCCATTAATTCAAGTTCTAAAAGTACTGTTTTAAGCTTTTCAAAATAATCAGAAACAATATATTTGTTGAGCTTTTGTGCTCTAGCCGGGTTCATGTTCTGAGCCCGTCTAGGAGAAATCTGTGAGTTTCTATTTAAGAATGCTTTTAACCAGTAACGGCCAGCTAGGCGCTTTTCTTGTGAGAACATGTTAGGTACACCATTTTGCTCACAATAATGGTACACAGTTCTTCGAAGCATTCGTTTCGTAAGAGGGTAACCCACCTGCGCCAACCTAATAATTCGGGCCAATAATTCTGTTTCTTGGTGTTTATTCAGTACACTTTTTCTGCCCAGTGACTGTTTTACGTTACTATTTTTGTTAATATAACGCGTAAGAGTCCTTCGTGGTATTTTATATTGCTTAGAAACTGAGTTTTTCGACTCTCCGTTTTGTATCGCTCTTAGGGCGCGCGTAAGGTCTTCCTCCCTCCACTGAGACCGAATTACTGTTGCTTTGTAAGGTGACATCTGTAAAAAATTAGAAAACATTCAAGTAAAAACCGAGGGTAATATGCCCATATGGGCATATTAACTGCCGATGACTATGGGCGTATTAGCAACTGTTAAAGTAAATGCATTTTTTAAGTTTTTAAGGTTAAATTCAAAATATTTTTATCAAAACTATATACTAGAGATGTGTCAATCGTGAAGGATTCAATCATCATGATCGAATCACTTAAGAGTATTGAACGATCGAATCCCGATCATTGCGAGCGAATGATCGAATCCCTAATTTAGTAAAGCCGAAATCAATTAATTTAAATGAAACGTATAATTGTTTTGATCGATTGCAAAAGTACCGATTCGATACTATTAAACTAAAATTCACAGCTGATACGACAAAGCTCATTCCATTCGTTCTAATCACTACGACCGAATCGTTCGTTCAATGATACAATTGTAGTAATGTATCAGATGGGAGCGATCGAATTTTGAAGTTCGATCGTTCGATCATCGAACTACCGCGGCAGTTCGATCGCTCGCAGTAAAGCAGATTGCGTTCAATGGTTTGTTCCGTGGCTCGAATCGAGCGCTCAAATTTGAATTGTTTTTCCCGTGACATCACCCGTAGTAGGCGATGGAAAAACCGCTTCAAAAGCGAAGTTCGGTTACTGCAATAAAACATTAAGTTTTTCTGGAGGTGCAACAGGCAATCTCAGGCGGCATATTAAATCTGTACATAAATCGATATCATTGGAAAAAGTAACATATGCACTTAGTGATTTTGAAGAACAGGAAGATCAGCTTGAAGAGGCCACAGGTCTAGATTCCGAAAAGGAGCCAAAACCATCTACTTCCTCAGCTGAAGTACCTAAAACTCTTAACAAAAATACACATTTGCGAACGATTAATCAACAAATAACAAATTTTATTTCCCGTCCAATATCAGTAAATAAATCTAAGCAGCTAGATGAGCAACTGATAAGAGTTATTGTCAAAGAGTATCAACCTTTTAAAATAGTAGAAGATCCTGAATTTAAAAAATTCGTAAAGATGCTTAATCCAGGTTATGCAATGCCAACCAGGAAAACAATATCCAACAGTTTGATACCAAAAATGTATAATGAAAAAAAACAAGAGGTATTACAAATAATGTCAAAAGTGGATGCAGTATGTTTAACCACAGACGGATGGACTTCTATTAATAATCAGAGTTATATTGCCTTAACCGCTCATTTCATTAAAAATGATAAAGGAAATTACAATCTTGGTTCCTGTCTTTTGGGATGTATTCCATTCGATGAACGACATACAGCGACAAATTTGGCAGATCATTTGAAATCTCAAGTAGATGAATGGAGCCTTACCCATAAAGTATCCTGCATTATATCAGACAACGCTGCAAATATTACGGCCGCAATTAGAATCGCTAATTGGCGTTTTTTCCCGTGTTTTGCGCATACTCTCAATTTAGTGCTCCAGGATGCGATAGGGGAAATTCAGGAGCAAATTAATAAAGTTAAGAGTATTGTACAATATTTTAAGAAAAGCTCCAGTGCTTTAGCTAAATTAAAAAATATGCAGTCGCAAATGGGATTACCTGATTTAAAATTAAAACAAGATGTGGTAACACGGTGGAATTCCACGTACGACATGTTAAGTAGGATAATTTCAATAAAAAAAGCTGTCGTGGGCCTTTTAGCGGAAGATGAACCACGTTTAAATACACTGCCAATATCTGATTGGAATATATTAGAAAGATCATTAGAAGTTTTAAAACTATTTAATGAGGTTACAGTGGAAATTAGTGCCGAAAATTCGGTCACAATATCAAAAGTAAGTTTATTAGTAAATACTATGAGTCAGCACATTCAAAAATTGTTACATGATCAACAAAATCCTCCTGAAGTTTCTGAACTTTTAAACAGGCTTCAAAATGGAATTAATAAAAGATTTAAGGACGTTGAAACTAACGAACTAACAACTCAAGCAACATTCCTCGATCCTCGGCAGGCCCGTAGCCAGAAAAATGGTTTGGGGGGGGCCAAAACGTAGTAATAATTTTTTGGGTGGTAGGGGGGGCGGAAATGGTTGATGGATATTTGTTATTAAAGTTGGACTCATCAGTAAAAAACTGCTTTATTGTTATTAATATCATCACTGTATTTTAATTGTCAGTCACGCACATACACATCAATTGTCAAACAAAAGCGTCAATTTCAGTAGAAAAAATTTAAAATTTTAACCTTCGCGATTTCTTTGCTGCCATAATCTCAAGAACCTCATTCGGATCGATACCTAATTTTCCATGAATTGACAGTACTGCAAGTGCACTAAGTCTTTCGTTGCCCGTTGAGTTACGTAAGTAAGTCTTGATTCTTTTCATTGTCGAAGAGTTGCCAAAACTGTTAATAGATATTTGATTGTTGGAAATATGCTCTTGTCACAAAAATCCAATACTTGTAAAGCCTCGGCAACTTTCCCGAGTCCCGATAATTTCTCACCCCACAACTTATATTCAGCTTTTACAGCGGATTCTGAGACTCGATCATCAAATTATGGCGAAAGATGATGCAAGTCATCTACTTTTTCAATTTCAGCAAATTCAGTGAGAAGTATCTGTAAGCTTGATAAGATTCCTGCGTTCTCATTAAGAAATTTGTCAGAAAAATTCTGAATCAGCGTATCGAGGCAAGGAATAAAAACAGCAGACCGAAAGTACGATTCAACAGAGTCTGTTTGATAATTGGAACGAGTTGTTTGCTTCGACGTGAGTCTCGAAACTTTCAGCTCCATATCGAATGTATCGTTTGCAAGCTTTTCAGCTGCTATACAAATTTTGCTGAACGATACTTCTGCAGTTTTTCGTTCTTCTTGAAGCATATTCACGATTTCGTGAACATGCTCTACTGCTGATGCCAAATCACATGACTTTTCTTGCAGTTGAACTGCCAAAGGAAGCGTGAAGCTGAAAAGACTGTTACAAACCAAGAGACTGACGAGAAACTCACTTTTCTGAACTGCTGCAAGAAGGCAGGCCGCAGTTTTCGAAATAGCCCAAGATTTTTCTGAAATTTCTTCTAATCCCATGTGTATGATTTGAAACAGTTCTACAAAAGATAGTATGCTGTCATGTCGTTCGATGAATCTTGTTTCGACGAATAAGCCTCTTCTTTTTACATCCGGAACATGTTCTTGGATGAGATCTTGAAGAATTTTCGTCGCATAATCGTATAAAGGAAAATTTTAGGGTTCACGGAATTTCGGGGGGGGCCCGGGCCCGTCGGGCCCTACGGCTGGCTACGGGCCTGATCCTCGGTTTAAAAAATATGGTTTTTCATCGGAAAAGACTTACGAAAATACTTTTAAAAATATTAAGGCAAAAATTGCAGCTTTCGAGGTAAATACCGTTGTAACCGAAACCCAGCATTTGGGAACGGTATCTTCTGAAAGTAAGGACAAAACCAAGTCCTTACTTTGGGGCGATTTTGATGACTCAGTAAAGAATGTCTTATCAGTAGCAAATCCCGTAGCTGCAAGTATCATAGAACTAGACAAATATATTAACGAGCCACTCATAAGAAGAACCGAAGATCCATTGCATTGGTGGGAAGAAAGAAAACAAATATATCCGCGCCTGTATAAGTTAGCAAGGAGAAGATTATGCATTGTCGCTACATCAGTTCCATGCGAAAGAATCTTTTCCAACGCCGGAGAAATAATCAATGAAAAAAGAAGCCGACTGAAACCTGAAAAAGCCTCACAAGTTCTCTTTTTAAATCAAAATCTGTAAAAAAAATATTCCTTATGCATTCCTTTATTTTTTTAAATATTTTTATTACCTAAGAATTGATAGGTATGTATTTTATTTATTTTTTGTTATTCGTAGTTTTATGCAAATAAATTTAAATTAAAAATTGGCAATGCTGCAATTATTAAGCTAAGCGAATAGGTTGCTGCAGTTTGTACTAAGCCTTAGTAACTAAGGCATGTAGATTAATACAAGCAGGCGTATAGGCCTACATTTTGGTTTAATGCATTGTTGTATAGCTAAGGCTTACAGTTCTTAAAGCCAGTAGATATAAATATTATATTATTATTGTATAATATTTATAATTATATATCATATAATATTTATCTTAATGCCTTGACAGAATTATCTAGTGATTTTACAGCGCCGTCTATGGTTGCAATAATGCCTTAAACAATAAATGTCGGCCTATGCGCCAGGCTGTTATATTTAGTTGTATACATTGTTTTTAGAGGTATAAAACAGTGATTAATCTATGGTGTGAAAACAATGGTATATCTAATAGCTTTAGTTTGTACAATACGCTTCTGCCTCGACGATAACAGCGGGCAGTGCCCGCCGGGCACTGCGCTCGCCGGTAACCGCGGGCACTACGCTTTTGTTTTGTCGATTCACTCGATATTATTTTTGTATGGTTTCAATTATAATTCAAATTATTAACTTTTTAATTTGGATTGTCGATTATTTTTAATTCAAATCATTCCCCCCACCTGTTCTGAAAATGTTTAAGTAGGTATTAAATATTTTTCAATATTTTTACTGGTGTCATCAAATTGACCGAATCAAAATATCGACTGATGCGCCAATAGTGGCGACAGATAGGTAAGCACGCTTAGGAAAATGATTGATTGAATGAACGATTGAAAAGATTCGATCATTTCAGAAATCAATCACCGATCGATTCGATCCCTAATAAATGATTGAATTACCCATCTCTACTATATACTAAAAGAATAGTTAAAAAGCCTATTTTAAAATTTTGTACTCACAATTATTGTAAACAAGCACAAACAAAAGTTACACGTGTTATTTTTATATACGACACAGCCCAAAACATGTGGCGATTCACTTTCAACCCTAAGACAGCGAATAAGCACAAACTGATTTCACTCGTAGCGCTGTAAGCGCAAAATATTGACATATTAAACGCCCTCTATAATCATATATTCTAAACTTTTTAAAATGGCAGGGGATGGGCGTATTAACAGCATGGGCATATTTCCCGCACCTACCTATGATTTTCAAATTTGGGGGGGGGGAGTTTTGTTCCCAAAACCCCTCGTTACTACGCCACTGCATGCGATGCCAAGTGCTCGGAACAGGGTTGCCAGACGTCCGGATTTAGGCGGGACTGTCCCGATTTTCATCGATGTGTCCCGCTTTGTCCCGCCTTCCAATTTGCACGTCGAAAATCCCGATTTTTAAATATTATCAAAACTGCGAACGAAAAAAGGGAATACCTAATTTAAAAATTTTACAAAATACAGGAAAATTACGATCTACGTCTAAAAAAACTTAATTAAAGAAAATGATATTCAAAAGCATATAAAAAGTGTTAAACACAAAAAGAACATTTTAAAGTTAGCAAACACAAATGCACTTTAAAAAATGTTTAATCGAACGGGAGATGACGCAAAAAAAGCTAATTGCTGAGTGTAGCTTTATTTGTGTCAGAACAAAACTCACAAAGATTGTTACAAATGTTTTGGGACCCTATGACAAAAAAAATATTTTAGAAGATCTTTCTAAACACCATCCAATTTCGCTTCAAATAAAGGCAACATAAAAACCTTTCCGTTGGTGCTTAAATATTGTGATAAAAACTAAATTATTAAAATTCTACTAATCTGATTCTGAACAGTCCCATGATATTGCTCAGTGTTTAGTAATTTAAATAATTACTTTGATGTTGCTTCACAATTTAAAATTTCTGCAATTCATTTTTTTATACCAAAAGAATTTTTAGTTTGATGAGAACAGTTTGGGAAAAAAATGGATTAAGCTTATAATAATTAAACACATTAATGTGTTTAAGCTTAACCCATTCTTTTTTTTTAATTAGAAGCTGAATTGATAATCAAAACTAATAATAAAAAGACATGTTAAAAAGCAATGGAAAAGAAATTCTTGAAAAAGTTCCATCATGTGAAAAATACACTTAAATAATAATATTTTTCATAATTTTATAATTAAAAAATTATATATCTTTTGAATTTTTTTTCGAGGCAATTTCAAAATTTTCGAAACTAAAACATTTTTTTAACAGAGATTTGAGTGTCCCAATTTTTCATTTGCAAAATCTGGCAACCCTGGCTCGGAATGAATTTCTTCGCCGGCCAAATAAAAAGGTTATTACCTACATATTTTTTATTATTATTTATTAAAATTAATAGGTACTACCACTGTTTAATTGCTTATCATATTTATTTATTTATAGTACCTATATTGAGAGGCGTGACGACTTTACTATAAACAAAAATGACGTAATGCTTTAAATGGACATATTCCTACGCCCAAGTGACATCAATCAAAAAATAGTTCCATTTAAATAATAAAATATTTTAAAATATAAGCGTTATTTATTTTTTAGTTGTTTGTATAATCCTTAAAATTGAATTAAATTTATAATTTTATTTACAAAAATACAAAAAAAAATATATTACAAATGTAGAACAAGTTATTATTTATAGGTTAGGGCAGTTTGGTAAGCTATAGTTTAGTCGATTCAGCGGTCGCGTTCGTTTGTTGTTTATGGTGTGTGGCCCATCCCAGTATTAGCTGTGAATGTGTGTGCCGTTTCCATAACTTTTTATTTAAATTAATGGATTTCATTTGTTGCTGATAGGGTAAGGAATCCTTTTAGATGTTTACTTTATTTACATAAAGTATTTTTCTCATTGATCATCGGTAAACTCTTGATTGCCTGAAACCTAAATTACAAAGCCAAAATATAGACATTGTCTATATTTTTACGTTGTAAATCTATTAGACAACACCTCAAAACGATGTTTTTCTGATGAATTTCCTTTTTTCTAAATTGGATTAGTTTTAATGTTTTAAGAAAAGTCGAGCACAAAAATGATTTGTTTTGAACAAAACGACAGGTATTTTCTTTGCATACTTACAAAAACTAGGTATTTCTATACAGGGTGTCCGGAAAAAGGAGGTCAATCCGTTAACCATATATTCCTTGAGTTAAAACAATAAGACTTTTATAATACCATTTTTCAATTTAGAGCTTCATGTTCGACATACAGGGCGACAAAGTTTGAACTTTAAAACTGATTTTTTTTTAATAATTCGAGTAATTGATAAGATATTAAGTTCAAATTCGGTACACTACTTCAACATAAATAGTTACATTTTTGAGACCAACAAAACAAAAAACAATTGTCAAATAATCAAAATAGGGGGGTCCAGTACTCACTGACTATCCCTATTTTTTAGTACGTGCGCCAATGACTTCCAAACGATATTTTTTCAGGTAATCATTTATTGTTAAAAAAATTTTGTCTCTTATAAAATTTTGATAAAATGATTTGTTTTAGAGATAATTTGTAAAGTATGGGTAAGTCCATATCAAATCAACCAAAGGTTCTTCCCCCACCATCTCCGATTTTGATAATTTTTGGTAAATTTGTTTACCTCACTAAAAAACTCAAAAATCCCATATATGAATTTTTTTCGATAGGTGGTTTTTGTTTTATTGATTTTTGAAAATCAAAAAATTCCGATAAATTTGGGTCTTGCAAGTACTTACAAAAATTGCGATATCTCGTAAACTATTAAAAGTAGAAAGGTGAGTGATAGCTTATTTTAAAGGCCTATTAGAGACCTTTTTTATGATATATTACATGACCTAAATTTTTTCAAAAAAAAATTAAATTTCGAAAATTTGATATGGACTGACCCATACTTTACAAATTATCTCTAAAACAAATCATTTTATCAAAATTTTATAAGAGACAAAAAATTTTCCACAATAAATGATTACCTGAAAAAATACCTTTTGGAAGTCATTGGCGCACGAAATAAAAAATAGGGGGAGCCAGTGAGTACTGGACCCCCCTATTTTGATTATTTGACAATTGTTTTTTATTTTGTTGGTCTCAAAAAATGTAACTATTAATGTTGAAGTAGTGTATCGAATTTAAACTTAATATCTTATCAATTACTCGAATTTAAAAAAAAAATCAGTTTTAAATTTCAAACTTTGTCGCCCTGTATATCGAACATGAAGCTTTAAATTGAAAAATGGTATTATGAAAGTCTTATTGTTTTAACTCAAAGAATATATGGTTAACGGATTGACCTCCTTTTCCCGGATACCCTGTATACCTAGGTCATCCATATCAGGGGTCTTGTATCAAACGCATTAAATTTATTGGCAAATTCACATTTATCAAAATTTTCGAGAAATGATCGAGTAAAAATATACATCTCAGTATTATTATTGTCCATGTTACTATAGGTGCATTTTTTTATGGGAATACCTACTTTAATAGCGTATTTTTTAATTTCTGAAAATGTTACTCAAATTGAGTTTGCTGGGTTTGATATTAGACCCCTAATATGTAATATATATTTGGTTTTAAATTTTTGGCATAGGAACACTGAGAAAAAAGTTTATTGCTCCCAAATAAAAGAATATTTAAATATGGGACAAGGGTACAGTTTATTTATCCTAAATATATTTTTATTCCCGACACATAAAGTTTTACTAAAGTATATTTATCGTTATTATTTCGATTAGGTATTTAGAGGTAATAAACAATATATTCACTATTAATAAAAGTATTAGCTACACAGTTTACCTATTTGTCCCATTTTTTTCTCAGTGTACAATAAAAAATTTTGCTAGATTTTAATATTAAATTCTTTATAATTGTTTATAATAACTGAACGTTATACTTATATTTACTATTTATAAAAACAAAAACAATTTCTTTAATCTAATAGGTACTTGACAGTAAATTATTCACAATACTTACTACCTACACAGTAATAAAACAGTGTTTTAAAAACACATACCTAGTGCAAATCACAACCCTGCTTAAAATACCCCATAGAGACCCTGTTCAAACCGATAGATATTTGTATCGGGATGTATGGTGTTTCTATAGGGTGTATCGGTTTGTATAGGACCCGTAGTTGAGATTTATGGTTGTTCTATAGGGATATCCACCATTGATTTATTTGCTATCGGTTTCAATGGGGAAAATACACATAAATGTAGAAATTAGTTTTTTCCCTATAGGACCCTATAGGTTTTAATAAAATTTTGTCAAATGTTTTATGGTTGCTCTATAGGGATATCCCTATATATCCTTCATTGAGTTATTTTCTATCGGTCTCAATAGGGAAAATGTAAAAGTTATGGTGTGCCTATAGGTAATTTCCTATACATTTTCTATCGGGCTGTATCCGGAAAAACCCATGGACAAATGCACATATAGAATCCGGTAGCGCCCGATAGATTATTTTGTATAGGTCTCTATGGGGTATTTTAAGCAGGGAATGTGTGGATTGTGGTGCAAATAACAACTTAAAATTTATGTATTTTTTGTGCGATTTAATGTGTTTTTATTGTTTAAACATAAACATAGATAAAAACGTATACTTTATATATCTATATCAACCAAACTTTTAGCTTAAATAATTGTTTCTACTCCCACCTTTAAAAAGCACTTTATCGTACATGTTTCCATGACACTAAGTGACCTTTTAAATACACATTGACAAGTTGTGGTTTTACGGCGTTTTAGTCACGGGCTGAAGTTAGCAACATGTTTTTTAGTCACGGGCTGAAGTTAGTTTTAAGATAGTTGACAATTGTAAAATGTCATACAATCGTTAAAATAAAGTGCCTTTCTTGTAAAATAATACTAAATGAATGAAATGAAAATTATTTTATTATCTCAATACAAAAATAGGTACGTATTAAATAGTTTCTCAACGCCAATATTTGAAAAGTAACTTTTCAAAAGTTTATATGAACATTGTACTGACCTTTTAATTACGCCGGCAGTAAACTAGGTATAACTTAAATTCGGGCACGGACTCCACTGTAAAGTGCTCATAAAACATTTTCTTTACTTTCACTGTAAAAAACTGTCCATTTTCAAGAAATACATTTCGATTTATAACCTTGTGTTTATAAAATAAAAAAATTTGACATTTGACGCTTACACACAGATTCCCCTATTGTTTCAGAGATGGCACTATATAAAAATATTTGATTTCAATCATTTTAAGATAATAATAAGTATTTGTCGTAGAAAAAGTATAGTATGCACCTCGTTTATAAACTTTTCTATACTCATTAATTTAAGAACTCGCTCGCAAGCTCGCTCGTGCCTAAATTAAATTCGTGTATAAAATGGCGTTTATCAAACTTGATACATAATATACTATTATTGTTTTATTGTAAGAATAATAGTAATTTTTCTTGGTTTTTATTTTTGATCTGACAATGTTGTTTTGTTTTTATTTGTTAATTTAGTTTAGTTATGTAGGTCCCACGAAAAAATTAAATCCGTTTTTTATGATAACTTTAAAAGTGCATCATTGTTACATAATATACTATTATTTATAGCCTGAGTCATGGCAAAATAATAGAGATATACTTACTTAATATGGGTACTTTAAACAGGATTTTTTACGGGAAAAAATTTGTCCAATACAGTGGGGGGATTGATTCACTACTTTATTTTGACCAATTTCAAAATATGTTCCTTTTTTTCTTTATAGCTAACTATTAGTTAGTAACTACATATGTGATTTTATCTCCACGCGGTCTATAATTTAAACTTTATTGTTGTCAACATTCGATTAAGAAATACCTTGTTATGGCCTAGGCCGATAAAAAATTTTATGAGGCAAGTAATTAGTTCGATTTTTTCTCGCTAGGGGTATTGTTTTGACAAATTAATCCTTTTCTAAGAAATTAACGTACTAAACTGGTTTAATTTATTTATAATAAGCACTAATTTGTTTGTTTTACTGTTAATGTTTAATATTTTTCATTAAATTATTGTAAAATTAAATATGAATAATAAAACAAAAAGTGAGGTTAGGCAACCAAGAAAACGCATGATTCTTTTTCTACGATTTAAATTATCTTTAAGTTTTAATTTGCTTTAAGTTTTCAGTGAAATTAAATGTTAAACACAGCTTAAACATTCCAAACTACCTATTTTTAAATAAAAATCCAAACAAATTGAAATTAGATACCTACCTATTTATTAAACAATTAATTGAATTCAATGTAATAGCAAAAATCCATTTCTACTTAAATCATGTTGCTATGTATTGTCAAACTATTACATACTGCTTCTAAAAGCAATAATAATTATTGTACATTTAATGTAATCTTTAGCTAATAAATAAATGAGATTCTAAAAAAGTGAGGTTAGGCCCTCGGTTAGGCCACTTTGATGTTGAATTAAATTGAGCTTAGCACAAAAAGCCTTACTTCTTAACCTAATGACATAAATAAGTATTATTGTAAGCTTTACTTATTATTGTCCTAGTTTAAAAATAATTTATACCAAACAAATAAAGTTACTCTGGCCTGTAAAAAATACTAAATAATATATAAACAACCTATTATTTATTATTTTTTGGTATACCAAGCATTTGGTGGACAGCAGTGGCTTAACTAATCAAGTGTGCGCCCCCCCGAAATTTTGATGGCGCCTATACAAGGTGCACCAAGTATAATTTTATGTGTATGTATGTGTATATATACTTATAGGTACTTTTTTTACTTCAAGAGCTACAAGTTGCAAGTTTTACATGCAAACATCATCATCCAATTTCTTCCCTATTGTATTTTGAGTTTCCA